CTTATGTATATAAAAACAAATAATATTAAAATAACATGTTAATATAGTTATACACATTTATATGTGCATTTCACTATGATAATTAATTGTCCAATGTTGATTTGTAATGCTGAATACATGACTTGGGTAAAACAGAGAAATATTGAAGTTTAAATAAAAACCTTGTAGTTGGCTTCCCAAAAATTTCAGATAACCAGTTGTTAATACACAATCGCTAAAGATTATCTTTTCCATTGCAAAGTTTTGTCAAGGCCAAAGGATGAACATAGACAATATTCTAGCCAAATTGTCTTGCTCTTGGATATATTGCTCTTGATATATATTTGTCAGAGATATTTTCAAGTTCCTTTTGATACAGCTGTAAATTGCAGCTAACCAAGATTTCCCACATAATTTATAATGAATTCTTGAATCACCTACAGTGAACTTTTCATAGCACAATTTACTGGTTGTGAAGGTTGTTTGAAGTAGTTGTATCTACACATTCATATTCAGAAGAATGAGATGATTGCATGGACCTCAAAGGCAGTTAATCTCTGCTTGCCCTTTTCAGCTTGCTAGATTTTGTGTTTGTTGCTACCTGAAGCCGCAAATATATATATATATACGTAAATATATACCTATATATATATACCCATATATATATATATACCTATATATACTTATATATAGCATATATAAGTATATATAGGTAATATATGTATTTATATACATATTTATAAATTCTCTGTCTATATAAAATCCTCTGCCTATATAAAATCAGAAATCAGGAGTTTGATTTTCCCAGGTGTCATATTCCATTCTGAACCACTAAAAAATTTACCATCCTAGTTATCATTTATTTTATCCCAGCATCCCTTCAAAACCATAAATTGCTCTGAGATGCCAGAGCAATTTTATTTAGCCTTAAAACGCTTCAAAAGTTTCTCTATCTTTTCTTCCCCTATGATTGTTTAGTTTTAATTGCCCTCAAGAATGATCTGAGCAGAGAAGGCAGGGGAATGCTTATCTAGCAGTTCACTAGCAGCATTAAAGGTTTTAGTGGTGCTAGATAAACATGACAGGCAATTATTAAAGGTTGTTACACATTAGGAAATAAAAATGGAATGCTGAGCAATATACTCTTTTGCTGTTTTATCTTTATCTCTGTCCCTAATTTGGATCTTTTACCAGTTTAATAGACTGCATTTTATTTGAAGAGGTTTTGTGGAGTACACTATTTTTTATTTTTTTAATTTATGATAAAGGTGATGAACAGGGAGGTTACAATTACCTAAGTAAGGTAATAAGTACATTTTTACCCTCATTTTCTCCTACTTACCACTCCCTACTCCACCCCGCTCACCAGTTGTAAAGTTCAATTCCAACATAATGTGAGTATCATTGTTGCATTAGTTCATCCTTTGTCCTGCTGTTTTGTGATTCCTTTTCCCTTCCATGGATCACATAAACTTATGTATAAGACAAAGAATACAGAAAATTAAAACAGAAATAAAAAAGGAAATAACTACATACAGGACATAATAAGAAACTCTTGTTTCCAATTCTCGTGGTTCATATTGATGTGCTTCATTATATATGGTCCTATGCACTTAGCAATTTGGCTATTGTGATCCCCTGCTAAGAATACCATAAACATGTTCTAGTTATTACAAATGAGGGAAAGCATGATACTTGTATTTCCTTGGGCCTGGCTTGCTTTGCTTGATATAATTTCCCCAGGTCTTTCCATTCCCTTAGGAATGGGACAATGTCCATTCTTTCTGATGGAAGCATAGGCCAATAGACACATGAAGAAATTCTCAACATTTCTGACCATAAAAGAAATTCAAGGGGCTGGAAAGGTGGCTCAGTGAGCACTTGTCTTGCATGCATGAGGCCTTGGGTTCGATTCCTCAGCACCACATAAGCAAAAAGAAAAAAGCCGGAAGTAGCACTGTGGCTCAAGTGGTAGAGCGCTAGCCTTCAGCTGAAGAGCTGAGGACAGCGCCCAAGCCCAGAGTTCAGGCCCCACAATGGGACCCAAAATAAAGAAAAAGAAATTCAAATCAAAGTAATACGTTACCCTAGTTAGAATGGCTATTATCAAGAAATCTAATAAGAACAGATGCTGGAGGGGATGTGACCAAAAGGGAATGCTATTACACTGTTGCTCCTCAGAAGACTAAATATAGAGCTCCCTTGTGACCTGGCAATCCCATTTCTGGGAATTTATCCAAATAACCACAAACAAAGCCATATTAAAGCTACCAGCACAACCATGTTCACTGCAGCATTATTTGCCATAGCTAAGATATGGAACCAACCCAGATACCCCTCAGTAGATGAATGGATCAAGAAAGTGTGTTACATATACACGATGGACTTCTATGCTTCCATTAGAAAGAATGGCATTGCTCCACTCGGAAGGAAATGGAATATGCTATTGAAAAATCAGACATATGAAAGTTTTATACCTTTCCTTCAGTAATACATTGTCAAAAGCTACATGCAGAAGAATGAAATTGGACCACTACATTTTATCAATTCCCAAGAAAGATAACCTCAAGTGAGATATACCTCAATTAAAAATTAAAATAATGAAACTTTTAGGGGAAAACTAAGATATAAAACTTTTGCAATCTTGTATTAGGTCAGGGTTTCCTAGATATTATACCAAACTACAAACAACCAAAGAACAAGCAAATTCAATCTTATCAACATTTCAACTTTCTGTGTTCTTGAAATAACACTTAAAAATAACCAATGACAAGTTTCACATCATATTGCTGATGAGTATGAAATGATAGTAAAATGATATAACAACTTTGGGGAATAATTTATATTACATATGACTGAGCTATTTCATGCCCAGGTATGTATTCTAGAGAATTATATGTTTCTCTCTACACAGAATTATAAACAAATACTGATAGCACTCACAATAGATGTAATGGGAAAACAACTGAAATGTCTATTAACCAGATGAATGCAAAGCACAAAATCTGGTCCATCCATGTAATGGAACATTGCACAGTCATAAAAGGATGAAGTAATGTACATGCTACAACAAAGATGAACTTTGAAAACATCAAGTAAAAAAAAATCCTTGTGGAACAGTTGGTTTGATTTAATTTATATGAAATGGCTAGAATAGGCAATTTAGTAAGGACAGGAAGTCAACTCTTTGGTTGGAATAGGATGAAGAAGTTCAAAACATATATTGACTACCATTAAGTACAGGATTTAGTTCAGGTTCTAGGAGCTTGTCCCTAAAACCTTAGTAGGCCTAGGTTGAGAAGGTGGTGCTAGAGGGACAAAATAATCAGAAAGGCTCATCAGACCCTTTCTCAACAAATATCTCGATGAGGTGATATGTGCCTATCATTCTACCCACACAGGAAGGCTGACATAGGCAGTTGTGCCCAGACAAATGCCTGTGTCCAAAACCCTATCTCAAAATTAAGCAGCAAAAGGCAGGGGTGGAGACTAATAACTAAGAGCACCTGCCTGGCCAATGTGAGGACTTGAAGTGAACCTCCAGTATTTCCAAAACTGATGATGATGGTGGTGATGATGATGATGATGATGATGATGATGATGATACAAGACTTCTTTAGGGGATGATTAAAGTGGTCTAAAATTGGATGGGGGAGTAAGAATCTTACAAGTCAACAAATACCTTGAAAAAAATTAAGCTTCCTCTTCTGGTATTTAAATTGTATCCTCACTTAAAAAAAAACCCTTATCAGGAGTTCCATAGTAAAGTTGTTTCTATTATCATCATTTTCAAAATCAAGTTTTTGCCATTATCTAAAATACTCAGACAACAGCTGGCTTGTGTCAGGAATAATAATCTGTCCCTACAATTAAGTGTTCATGGGAAGAAAAACTAGGCATTTGAATCTTGAGCAGAGGAATTTTTTCCACTTTTTTCTTGAGAACACTAAGTGTAATTTGATGTTCTGACATGCCAGGGTGATAATGAAGGACTAATTTTATGGAAGTACTGGACTAGAACTCATAATACTGTGTGATTCTGGCCTTGTCAGTTACTCCTCTGCATATTTTTAAAAAATCTGGCCACTAAATGTCTATACCTACCACATACATTTAGAAGAGTTTGAAAGGAGCCAGGTACTGGCGGGTCATGCCTACCTAGTCAGAAGGCTGAGATCCGAGGATCATGGTTTGAAGCCAGCCCAGACAAGAAAGCCCATGAGGCTCTTATCTCCAATAAACTATTCAGAAAAAGCCACAAGTGGTGCGGTGGCTTAGTGGTAGAACACTAGCCTTAAGCCAAAAAACTCAGGGACAGTGCCCAGTCCCAGAGTTCAAGCCCCAGGACTGGCAAACAAAATGAGAGAGAGAAGGGAGAGAGGGAGAGAGAGAGAGAGAGAGAGAGATTCAAAGAAACCAAATGAATACAAGATGTAAAGTTGTTATGAAACTCTCAATGCTGTAGAAATGTGAGCCGTTATTTACTTAACATCTTTCATTTTTCTTCTTCAGACGATTTTCAATGATGGGGAGACATAAGGTGCTAAGTTAAATGACTTCCTTTGGATATTGATTGAAAGGGACTGGATTTTCTTCTTGAGGAAGAATGTCACATGGACTTAAAAACCTGCCCCTTTATGACATTGCCAGATAGGGTTTTACAGAAAGCTGTTGTAATGTTTTAACATACCATTCTGACAGCATGAAAACGATACAGCAGCAGACAGGTGATTGTCAGTTAAACAAGAGCTGTCAAAAAGTCAGAAACATTGAAATATAGTGGGCATGAATCCTAAGCGGCTCATATGGCAATATTCAGCTGTGATTTTACCCAACTTGCTTTATGTATGTGTCATTTTCCCGCAGTATTTAGTTTGAGCCCTGGATAATGGAGACTTGTCTGGAGTCACCTGTTTGTTGTGCAGTCGAACGTGGACCCTCTAAATGAGCTGGGATGGTGGGTGGGAATGAGAGAGTGACATGTGGAGGGGATTCTTCTTGTCCCTTTGTCCTCCACCCAGGGTACATCGAAGAGGCCTGCATTATCCCTTGTCCCTCAGACTGCAAGCTCAGTGAGTGGTCCAACTGGTCCCGCTGCAGTAAGTCCTGTGGAAGTGGCGTGAAGGTTCGCTCCAAGTGGCTGCGAGAAAAGCCTTATAATGGAGGAAGGCCCTGCCCCAAACTGGACCATGTTAACCAGGTACTTCCTTGCCCCTGAGTGTGGCAGCATATTGTATAGGTTCATGATAGGCTGTTATTTCTCCAAAATGATAAAAGAGTAAATTAGAAATTTGATTCATTTTATCTTCAGAATACCTAATAAACTATTGGTACCCTATTAAAATCCCAAGTGAGATGTAGTACCTCTGAATTGTCTGGAGATTCAGTATCTTTCATCAATATGAATTTAATTCAGTACAGTGAAAAATGACACTTATTTTTGAAATAATGTCAAAATGTTTAATGTCATCAAATTGCATATGGCTTGATAAGAGAGTGTTTTTCTTTTTAATGTTTCTTTTTAAATTATCGTTAAGTGGTTGTACAAAGAATCTCAACTCAACATTTAGTTTAAATGTGCAATGCATGTTTTTGTGTGTGTGCCAGTCCTGGGACTTGAGCTCAAGGCCTGAACCCTGTCCCTGAGCTTTTATGCCTAAGACTATTTCTCCATAGCTCCACTTCTGGCTTTTGGAGATAAGAATCTCACAGACTTCCTTGCCTAAGCTAGCTTCAAACTGTGATCACCAGGTCTCAGCTTCTTGATTAGCCAGGATTATAAGCATGAGCTGCCAGTGCCTAACCCGTACAATGCATCTAGATCGATGTCACCACTTTTACCATTCTCCTGAGTGTATATTTCTTATAGCTTCCACAGACTCTCAGAAAAGACATCACAGTTGCTAATTACTGAAATAAAAGCCAAAGAAAGTATATGGGTGTCTCAAATAGGGCAGGGCAAAGGATTCTATGTATTCATTTAAATGTGCTTGAAGTGAAATGCATTGAAGCCATGGACATACAAAGAGGTATTAAAACTACTGTGTTTTGAGTGTGAACAGTTCCACACTGGCCTTCATCAGTTCTGTATGGAAAATTATTATAGTTTGGATGCATACTTTATTAGTTTCTCTAATAGCTATTTCTCTCCTACTGGAGCTAAAAAAAATAAAAACCTATCAATTATCATGTTTGACATGCATGTGGCTGAATGGAGAATGAATTTCATATAATACATGAAGTTGGTAAGTTGTATGATTCAGAGTTTACATGTGTAGAGATGCTTCTTACATAAATAGATGGAATGGGTTTTTTTTTTTATGTGTGTGTGTGCAGGTCCTGGGTCTTGAACTCAGGGCCTCAGTGCTGCCCTGACCTTTTTTGCTCAAGGCTAGCACTCTACCACATGAGCCACAGCTTCATGTCTGGCTTTCTGATGGTAAATTGGAAATAAGAGTTCCAAAGACTTCTCTGCCTGGGCTGGCTTCAAACAATGATGCTCAGATCTCAGCCTTCTGAGGCTAGAATTATAGGCATGTGCCACCAGAGCCAGTCCATAGATGGAAATTTTAATCTCCAAGTTCGCTGTTCACTACTTTATATGCCTTTGCTTCCTGAATTAAGCAAAATTTGTTGTCAGAAAAAACTAATGAGTAAAGGGAGGATGCAAACAATTTCTAATTAATTTGCATAGGAAGTCTTTAAGGAATGGTGAATTTTACCCCAAGTTGCTCAATATATCCTTGACTCAACTGTGACTAATAGTATATACCCCAATGCTGCCACCTGCTGGCAACCAAGTTCCTCTCACAATGTGCATTTTGCATTTTTACATTTCCCAAAGTTGAAAATCAATTCCACCATTCTAACTGCATGTATGCAAAACAGAATATCTGAGCAGAAGTGTTTAAATTGCAAAAGGGTGCTTCTTTATAAGTTTTGAAACTTTCAGTTTGCAAAGAAAAAATTAAATTAAATAAATAATGATATGCTATCTTAAAATAGAGAACTTCTACATGTACAAATACTAAATTTTGCTTTAGCGAGCAGGTGTGTGCACATGCATAACTCCTCAGGAAATTAAAATAAGCTAGGCTTGCCTCCAGTTTTTAATCAGTGCATTCCTAAAGGTTTAAGACCTTATGCAACGTTGTCTTTGCTCTGAAAACTCTGCAGCTAAAACTATTTCACTGTCACTTCCCACCTACTACAACCCAGTGCAGAATTTTCTAGAGATGTAGATACTTGTTCTTACCTTCTGAAGAAATATCAAAAGTTTAACAACGGAAAATTCAAAACTAAAACAATAAATAATCAATTTTCTGAGCATTTGTTTTTAGCATAAATGTTTCATATAAAACCAGAAATGTCTAGAGACTTACATATTAGTAAACTATTTAAGAAAGATAAAGAATATGCTGTTTTTGTTAATATTGTTCAACTCTAAGTGAAATAGATATTTATTACAATTATACATTCTTCAATAAAATGTACTCCATTGACCTTTGGCAATGGTTTCTGAGGCACCATTTTTCCAGTTGAAGAAAATCCTCAAATCCTTTCCCATCAGACAGATGGATTGATTGATAAAAATGAATCAATGGATAGGTAGATCAATAGGAAGTCAGATCAATGTATAAATATTCCATTTACTATCTGGATCATGGTTAGTTCCAATCATATATTAAGGTATTTCAAAATGCCCTAAGTTTTTTGGGTTTTCTTCACCCTGACCATTCAATCCTGTGCAATTGTAGTGTTAGATTTTTTTCTCTTAAAAGTTTTAATCTTTTGTGAAAACTATGCTTTCATAAACAGATAGTTGTTGTAACTTAGAACACGAAGCCTTCTCATACTGATGCTCCACATGCCTTTGTTTCCCTCCCTTTCCTGCATTCCCGTTAATCACCATGCCAGGCACAGGTAAGAATTCTTTTGCTTTTCCTTGAGGTGGGGGCGCCGGGCTCAAATGATATTTAATCATTTCTAATATTGCAAGAAAAGGGCTTTTCTCCTCAATTCCTTAAGGCAAAACATAATTGAAAACATATAAAATAGCAGTATGATGGGAACAGCATTTAATTAAGAATAGCACGCCCCTCTATGTCCAAGATGGAGATGATAGATAAAACTGGTGAATTCATTTATGGAAAGTGGAAAACCTTATTTAAGTGTTATTCTTAGATTATATATCTATGGCATAGCTTTTCCTATCCCTGATGCCTTCTACCTCATGACAAAGACCCTCAGTGTGTCTCTGAAGTTTCTTGTGGTACTGGGTAGATATTTTTCCTAGCAAGGTGTCACTATTATCTGTTGACCATATAAGTATCCCAAAGAGAGAAATGTCTCCTCAGAGGAGGATCACTGTAAATTTAGGTAGAATGGATAACTCATGCTAAGTTGGTAGATTTGTTTTACTCGGTGATAATTCTCCATCTTCATACAATAATTTTTTTTTAGAAAATCCAAATATACAACAATGTATTTATTTTTTGTTGTCTTTTTTTGTTTTACTGGAAGAAGATTTCATATTTTCCACTAAAAAGTGGTTTTTGCCTGTAGTGATTCCCATTTTCGTTAAAACATAGTTATTCCTGTTTCCTGACTAATATCAAGACCTTAGGAGATGGAATGTCACTTTGACAGGGCAATGTTACCCTTTACTAGTGCTCTCATTCTGTTGTGTGCTTGCTAAAGACAGAGGACAGATGCTTGTGAGAAGGTAAATTAAATAGATAGGTTTGGTTAGGTAGCCAATGAAGAGAACACCACTCGGTATTCAGGCAGGAAGAGAAGTTTATTGTATTACCAAACTGCTGCCCTGCCATGCATGGTGGAGAAGTGCAGGGGGTGAAGGGTGAGCCGAGATCCTGCCTGGGTTTAAGTAGGGAAGGGGTAGGAGAAGGTGTGGCCAGGTGAGCAAAGGTGTGGTCACACCAGACGGGGATGTGACCTCAAGGCCTGCAACCCTCCCCCGGTCGGATGGGAAGCAAGGCTTGGGGGGGGGGGGGGAGCCGGGAGGCCCAGGATGTGACCTTAGAGGAGGGGGAGGTGACTGCTTCCAGATGTGCCAGTTACCTAGGCAAGGCGGGTACTGGGTGGAGACTTATACAGGAGGTGGGGGGGCCAAGGCCTACATGGCCCAGGGCAGACCTTATACCAGTGAACAGAAAATGGGTGGGTGAAGGGTTCTCTGGATTGATTTGTATTCATTCCAACATAGATTAAAATGGAATCCATCCCAGTATTAAGTCCAGTAACTCTCCCTCAGTATTCCCCTTGTCCAGGACTTGTAGGATGGTATTTAACCAAAGACAGTTCTAGTACCCAAATGTATACGTGCCTCCTGGGACAAGAGCTACAACATCTTATTCCAACAGTGCATATTTTTCATGCAGACTTGGGATAGGTCCTCTTGACTTAGGTTTGCAACCCACTAAAATTACACAGATGCACAGTTTCAGAGGGCTTCCTAAATCTCTGCTTCCTAGAATTCGTTATATAACATGCTATAGGGTGGGTGTGCATGATGAGAAAAATAGCTGGACTTGTCGTCGATTATGAACATATTTTAGAAGGTATTTTCCCTTAATAGCTGTGTCACCTGGCTGCAGCAGATTATGGTACATTTATTTCCTGTAGTTACTTATTTGTAATCATTGAGAAAATAGCATAGTGGCTTCCTTGTTCTGAAATCCCTAAAACTGATCGTAACACCACCCACATGGAACTGAAAGCCTTCATGAATAGGATCACTCAATTTGTATTGTTCCATGTGGCCCTTACAGCTTGTGTGTGCTGTGAGACCAATCTCAGACCTTGCTTTCAATGATGGAGGACTAGTTTCAATGAGGAAGACGCAAGAGGAGAAAGATTAGATAAGTAGACAGAGAAAAAGAGAATCACCATCTTCCCCCCTTCTCAAAGATACTGGGAAATCAAGATAACAGCTTTGGTGATGGCAGAGCCCCAGATGGCCACAGCAGGGGACGGTCACCCTTCCCTCTAAAGTGGCTGAAGACAAGAACCCACAGATGCCAGAGCTTCTGGACTATCAAAGAGCAATCCATAGACCAATGTCAAGTTGGGACCCCAATGCTCACTCCTCCTCCTCCTCCTCCCCCTCCTCCTCCCCCTCCTCCTCCTCCTCCTCCTCCTCCTCCTCCTCCTCCTCCTCCTCCTCCTCCTCCTCCTCCTCCTCCTCCTCCTCCTCCTCCTCCTCCTCCTCCTCCTTCCCCTCCTTCTCCTCCTCCTTCCCCTCCTTTTCCTCCTCCTTCCCCTCCTCCTCCTCCTCCTCCTCCTCCTCCTCCTCCTCCTTCTCCTCCTTTTCCTCCTCCTTCTCCTCCTTCTCCTCCTTTTCCTCCTCCTTCCCCTCCTCCTTCTCCTCCTTTTCCTCCTCCTCCTCCTCCTCCTCCTCCTCCTCCTCCTCCTCCTCCTCCTCCTCCTCCTCCTCCTCCTCCTCCTCCTCCTCCTCCTCCTTCCCCTCCTCCTCCTCCTCTTCCTCCTCCTTCCCCTCCTTCTCCTTGTCCTCCCCCTCTTCATCCTTGTCTAGGACGTCATATGGCATGAGGCAGCTCTCCAGACAACAGCTAGGTTCAAGGCTTATACCAACCTGCCAATAACTAAGAGGCTTTTCTTCAGTTTCCCCTGTTGCCTTACTTTCAAATAACCTTTGTTTCTGCTCCAGTTTCTCCTGCCCTGTAATTCTTCTGTTGGTGGAGAGAAAAAAAAAATCCAAGAACACTACATGATATCATTAGAATGAGAACATTTCATTTTATTTGTTTTTTTTTTCTGTAGGAAAGACAAAACTGTGCAAATTTTCATTATAATATGGCAAACAGGCTGAATTATACTTATTTGAAGAACAGTTCCAAATTTAAATTTTTCATTTTATATTATTCATTTATTTTTGCAATCTCCATTCACTGCCTAATGTATGAGCACTCCTGACTGTTAAAGGCATACAAAACTGTGAACACAAGAGACGGCAGAGGGTTCATAAAACTGTAACACAGTACAGTAAGGGTCAATACAGCAAAGCATGTATCTGATCTGGTCCAGTGACTCAGATCTATACTGACAACATAATAGCAGAACAAAAGAATGTGTGACACAGTCGGCTCCATTAGAATCCTCCCCAAGTTATTTCTGTTCCTTTGTGGGGTCCTTTTCTTGTCCAGGTAAAGAATTAAGAGACCAAGAAGTGAAGTACAGCAAAGTACCAAGTTTATTAAAAGCAAACGTAGAGTATAGACTCCCCAAACTCAGGAATCCAATGGAATCCCCCAGAAAAGTGGCCTTTATGCTTTATTAGTTCTGTTCCTACCCTTCTCCCAGACAGGATTGGTCAGTGAGGGGCCACAGACTTGGCCCTCATTGGTCTCTGCCACTGAGCAGCAACACAGAAGTAAGTCTGATTGAGATTTTTGAGTGGGGAACCCAAGCATTATAGGAAGAAGCATCGTTTTGAGCAAGAGCCCAAAGCATTAGAGGAACAAGAAACACCACGATGGGCCATGTGTTGTCTGCCACACGTTAGGTCTGCCATTTTCTATCCCTTTCTAGCTAATGGTTGCCCTGTATCCCCCTCAAGAAGAGGAATGAAAGTAGACTGGCAATGTGATCATGGTGGTGATGGGGCAGGCCCTATTCGCCTCCCTGGAATTCCCTGCGATCGCAGAACCTTGTGTGTTGCAGGTGTATGAGGTTGTCCCGTGCCACAGTGACTGCAACCAGTACATATGGGTCTCAGAGCCATGGAGCGTCTGCAAAGTGACCTACGTGAATATGCGGGAAAACTGCGGCGAAGGCGTGCAAACCCGGAAAGTGAGGTACGGCCTACACTACTTGCACAGAAACAAGAAGCACAACCATTTACCTGTGTCACGCGAGTATTCGCTCCTCATTCTCCCAAGTCAAATTGTCTTTAGCTTTGTTCTTACAGAATCTGGGTTGAAAGAAAACTCTGGAAGGATCTGTTGCAAGCTGCAATTTGCCACATTCTGGTTTGCTAACTTAAAGAAGTCTCACTTTATACTCCTAAAAAGATGGAAAAACGGGATGGGAAGGTGACTCAGTGGTAGAGTGCTTGCCTTGCATGCATGAGGCCCTGGGTTCGATTCCTCAGTATCACATAAGCAGAAAAAGACCAGAAGTGAAGCTGTGGCTCAAGTAGTAGAGTGCTAGCCTTGAGCTGAAGAGCTGAGGGGCAGCACCCAGGCCCAGAGTTCAAGCCCCACAACCAACAAAAAAAAAAAAAGAAGGAAAAACATATTGAAAAAAAGCTGCCAAGTTTCAGCCCCTACAATTATTCTCTCTCTCTTAGTTATTTTTATTTTTGAGGTTTCATTATTGTTATTGTTGTTATTATTATTATTACTAAGAGTTGCCCAAGAGGTTTTCAATTCCATGTCAGCTTATGAGTACTGTGCACTTTGATAAATGTCACGCTTTCTATCATTTTCCCCATTTTTCCACCCTCTTACCACTGTTTTCTTAATGGTCAAATATATTTTCAAGTGTATAATAACTGCCTAGCAAGCACAAGACTGTGAGAGTTCAAATCACAATATAACAATTTTTTTAAAAACTTGTTTTTATACCAAACTGGCTAATTTTAAAATATTCACATCACACTCAAGAAGTCTTCCTTGAACCCCTGTCTGGATATGCCATCGAATTTTAATTCTTCTATCATTGTCCTATAGAATAGCCCAGAGTGGCTATTTTAAGCTAATTAAAATTAAAATTTAAAATTCATGTTCTTATTTACACTATCTGTTCTTTTAAGTGCTCCCTAACCATATGAAACTATCTTTGCTGATAGATAGCATGGATATAGAATATTGAAGTCATCAGAGAAAGTTTCTGGAGAACCCATAAGCCCCTCACTATGTCAGAAAGCCCAATTTACACCCTGCTACCTTCATGGAACCCATGTATTGCTAAAGACACAGAAATTCACTAATGCTTCACATAAACTGGTACTCACTACTTTTTCTACACAAAGACCCTCAAGGATTCCAGAACCCACTATTAAAGAAATGTATGGACCTAATCATTTCCTTCTCATATGTTACTTAATTAAAAACGCCCATATAATGAGAAGACAAGTTACACTTTAAATCCACCTTCTGTCAACGTTGCATTGTATCTCCTCTCTAACATGTATAAGTCTGCAGTTCTAACCTCACTTTCCAGGAATTTAAGGTTGGTATTTTTTAAGAGTTTCAATAGCAAAGTAGAATAAAATGATATTGATATCATAAAACTTTTGCATATAAATCTATAGGTAATTTTGTTTCTAATCACTTTTTTCAAAAGCTAAGGTTGAAGGCTTGCCTCAGATGTTAGAGTGCTAGCCAGTGAGTGAAAAGGGTCAGGACCAACTTTGAGTCCCACTCATGGACCTAAAACAAACAAATAAAACAATAAGCTCACCTGAAATCTCCATTTACTGTTCTCTAAAGAATTTAATAAAGATGGGGATGAAAAAAGGGTTGAAAGGTAATAACCAAAAAGAAAAACAGGGAAAGATGGAGATTCTACCTTCTAATATTATCTTTCCAAATTAAAAAAATTCTCAAAACTTGAAAATAGTTACATTAAGACTTCAATTCCATTGGTTGTTTAATTAGTAAAAACAAAATTATACAGAATTACTATTTTTTCCAACTTTCCCTTTATCTGTATGAATGTTGCTGCTTTTTACTTTGTAATTAGGTATTCACAGCCTGTGCTAACACAACTCAAAACAAAGTAACATTTCAGATCACTTATTTAACCAACATGTTTGGTGCAGGTAGAAAAAAGGAGAAGGTCAGTATTGACTGTGATCTCTGATCCTGTAATAATGTTCTTGTTTGTTGCTGATTAAGACTATACCTCTCTAACTTTATCCTCTGCCAATTGAGGTCAGGATATCCTGCTAAAATGCAAATGTGAGGTGGCATTCAGGATAGATGAGTTTATAAAGGAGCAGGTTTAAATTTATCTAATGACACAGCATATCAAAGAGTGGGTGGTAGATGTGGCTTGCCCTAGTGAGAGAGGGTATTTCTTCCTCTTCCATCACTGTGATAGACTTGAATCCAGGACCTTCAATATGCTAGACAAGGGAATAGTATTTTCCCCCAATGGCATTTTTTAAGAGAAATTGCTAGTCCATAACAATAATAAACAAATTTAATTACTGTTTCTAATAGCCACAGAGACAATTACCACTTACCATAACACTTGTGACAGGTTTCTGGCCCTACCCTTAACTTTAAGTTGGTCCTACACCATGTATTTGTAATATAGCTCTGCTTTCTTCTATTATTATCCTTGATCCTTGAAAGAAATCAAGGCCAAGAATTTGAAGGAAAAAATGGATTTAGAAAGCCTACCTTTGGGCTCAAAATTTAATCCAAATATCTATTGTGTAGTCAAGGGTAATAAAAATTTGTTGTTCCCAAATGAAATGAATAAAAACTCTTTATAGGTAGAATTTGCTTCTATTTTATGAAGATTTACGTTTGAAAATAGTTTTGAAACTAGGTTCTGTCAAGAATGATTGTCTCTGAATGGTAGAATTGCATGTTTTTAATCTTCTCATTTGATTTTTTTCTTAAATTAATATATAACTTCTAAAATAGAAAGTTAATGCTAGAAAAAAAAGCCATTCAAAATGAAGTTTTATGTACATGACAATTTAATAGAGTACTGTGCAACTGTTCTTAACTTGGATCAATAGGCAATTTTACAAGTTAATCCTTGTGCAGTTGTATCAGTATCTACTCTGAATGAGATCTTAGCATCAAATGCAACTTTGGGTATGAAAATCCCTTGTCTGGCCATGTCTCTACAAGCTACTGTCAAATAATATTTAAATGCTGCTAATAAAACCACAATATCCTTTGTACAATGATTTAAAGATAAGTTATAAAAAGCATATTTTCCTGAGAAACTAAAATTCTCCAAGAGATTTTTTCATTTGCTTTTCAACAATGAAATCATACAAATATCTACCTTTACATGTTCTTTTGTGTATTTTCCCATGTATTTATTTAGTAAGCCAAAAATGAGGCGATAGATGTTTACATGGATTATTTTTCAGACTACAAACCAAATTCAAATGCAGCAAATCACCTTTTTCCATTTTTTTTTTGAGTGCATCCCACAGGAAACATGACATTTCTGTGAAATTTGCACCACTGTATAGAAATGTGATTCTTCAAAGAAGATCTGTAGAAATGCAGTCTCTGGGATTTTAGGAAAAGTTGTTCTGTAATTTCAGTCAGAGGAAGGTTGTCCTTCCAGCTCCCCTTTCATGTAACATTCTTTTTGAGCACATTCACTTGGACACTCTTTTCCAGATGATGTATGAAGGATAAGGGTTTTTCTTCTGTCATTAAATGCACTGAGAAATTAGTTTAACTGTGGTAAAATGGAAGCTGCATTAATTTGCTTCTTAAGTGATATATTTAGAGGCCTTTGTGATTGCTTATAGTAGAATAAAGTATAAAGCAAGGTTTGAATTTGTCTGCTAAAAACGAAAACGAATAATTAAATAAAAGCTCAAGATACAAGAAGATCCAAATAACCACACTTAGAGAAACTGTGCTGTTGTCATTGTCTTTTCACGTTTGGCTTTCTTTTCAAGTTAGTAGCAGAGAGGAGGCTAAAATTCCTTTTTAAATGACAGAAACAAAAAAGAAAAAGGGAAATGCATCCAATTATCTTTGAAAACATTTCATGAAACCTTTCATGTAGATTTTGCAGTGTGCTAGACTTTCATCTTGGATGAATCAGCTCCACTATTTTGTAAAGAAAAAAAATAGATTAGATGCCAAAATTGCAAACACTGGAATCTCTTTGAACCACTCCTCATTAGTTCCTGCCTCCCATATGGGTTGTAAAACACTTGCCTCTTTCAAAGACAGCTTATCCAAACTGCAGAGTACACAAATACATGCAGTGACTATCGCATTAAAATACCATGACCATGCACTGCACATATGTATTTTTCAAGTGTATAAAAGTACCAAATACTTGAGAAGGCAGAGATCCTTTCAGGACTTCACTACAGGAAAATAATATTTACTAGATACTATAATGTCTTAAGAAGAAATACCACCGGATGCTTGTGGCTCACACTTGTAATCCTATCCACTCAGGAGGCTGAGATCTCAGGATTGTGGATGAAAGTCCATGATACTCTTATCTCTAATTAACCACCAGAAAACCCAAAGTGGAGCTCAAAGTGTTAGAGCTCCAACCTTGAGCTAAAGAGCTCAGGAACAGTGCCTAGTCCCTGAATTCAAGTCCCATGACCAACAGAAGAAGGAGGAGAGGGAGGAGCTGATAGAGGCAGAGAAGGAGGAGAAGAAGGAAGAGGAGGAGGAGGAGAAGAAGGAAGAGGAGGAAGAAGAGGAGGAGGAGGAGGAGGAAAAAGAGGAGGAGGAGGAAAAAGAGGAGGAGCAGAAGGAGGGGGCAGGTGAGGGGGGCAGCCATAATTCTATTTGTACTGGCTCCTTCACTCTAGATATCTTTTCTTCTAGATGCATGCAGAATACACCAGATGGTCCTTCCGAACACGTGGAAGATTACTTCTGTGACCCTGAAGAGATGCCCCTGGGCTCTCGAGAGTGCAAATTACCTTGCCCTGAGGACTGTGTGATATCTGAATGGGGTCCCTGGACCCGATGTGTTTTGGTGAGCTTATTAACTATTTGTAATAGCCTCAATGTAAAAATCTATTCATGTGTGATGTTGACCAAAGCAAAGCATATTTTCTTGGCCTGCACGTTCTATAGATATGCTACACGAAGTCAGCAATGCCTCCTTTCACACTTAAAACAGCTTATCTTCTTGCAAGCTTCAGCATCTTCACAACCTACACTCCTAACCCAGCACACGATGCCTCCAGCTTGCCTTCCAAAACACAAAACTGCAGTAGGGCTAATGATTGCCTTGTGAGAACAAGGAAATAGAATGAAGCTCTGGCCAAGTGTTCTGTTCAATCCATTTAACTTAAGTGGCAGGAGTAATCTTGCGCATAGTGGGGTACTGGTGCAGGAGCATTAACACTGAAAAGCGTTTTGCTCCTGGGTAAGAAGCTGAGAATGGAAACTGTGCATCAATGCATCTCTTTCCACACCCTGACTCCGTCTTTTGGGGGTGGAAAACCAGCTGAGAGTTGCGAATCACACAAAGCTTCTAGGCTCCAATAGCAGTATGAGATCTACCATAAACTCCGGAAAGAGGTTCATTTGAAACAGCAATGTATACTTTTGATAGAAAATCGAGCTTGTCTTTGGACAACTTTGTCAAGCCGTGCACTTCAAAGCACAGTGGTACAAAGTGCACAGGAAAAAGGCATCTAATGTGAACTTAAATTTGTTGGAAATATAGTATTGGATAGTTTCATAGAAAAGTTTACAGAATATATTTTCCAAGGAGACATTGCTTTTTATCTCAGTGTTAATATTCTTAAAGATGCTGATTGGCAACTAAGTGATAGGGCAGGAGCAAAGCCATGCTGTGGGTAACTTGAATCCAGGTTAAAGTCAATGAAGGTTCAGTTTTTTCACAAGAGCATGCAGGGCGTTTCTAACTTAATTCCACAGCATTTGCTTTGAAGTTATGCCAAGTAGTTGGAAAACATTCTCTGGTGTCTGACTAAGGTCAAACATGAGAGGTTCTTATTGCCACAGATTCTGATGAAAAGATGCTATTTTTATAAATAAAAGTGATGAGCCTACGCTGCTTCTCAAACTCATTAGCAGAAATTCAAAAGCAAAACTCACTGAAATTATGTCCATTAGCTTCTGTTTCAAATGACTGGAATAATTGAGGCCGGGCACAGTGGCTCACACCTGTAATCCCAGCTATTACGGGGAAGGGAATACTACTACCTACTACTACTTTACTATCAGGGAGATGCTGGTTTGAGGACAGCTGGGGAAAAAATTATTGAGATACACTCTCAATTCATAAACTGGGATTAGTTGGGATTCGCGTTATTAGGAACTGTGTTAGTGCAGAGAATACGCTGGGATATAAGACGTAGGTCTCAATGTACTCAATGTACTGCAGAAAGGAACAAGATCCTGATATAATCCACAGTGTCAAAGAACCGTGGGTATTACAACAATAGTGCAGGAGAGATTTGGGGGAGGGAAGCGGGAGCAGTCATTATAGGTCTAAAATGTCCAAGGAAACTTGTCCCTAACTGCTTCTGTTTGGTTCTTGGAAACCAATTGTTTCCAGATGATTACTTATAGGATAATGGCAAAACAGTCTTTTTAGGTGTTACATCATGTTTGCATGCATTAGAAAATAAGTCATTAGGAAGTGGTACTGTGGCTCAAGTGGTAGAGCACTTGCCTTGAGCTAAAGAGCGCAGAGATAGCACGCAGGCCCAGAGTTCAAGCCCCATGACCAACAAAAAAACAAAAACAAAAACATGAAAATAAGTCACTAATGCATTGAGAATGATTTAAAGATACTCTGAGTTTTTTTTCTCAAGTCAGAGATTATTATGTCTGTTTGTAAATACATGTATATATCCATATATATGTATTCAACAATAATAAGCATGGATGATATATTCGTGATTGTGAGAGATGGTGTGTGTACTCTCATTGGAAACATAAATGTTTTGTATTGTGTAGCTAGATGGGTCATCAAAATCTCAGCTAACACTGTCATCTTATATTTGGCAAAACTGAAGGGTAATGAGGTTTCCTGACCTCTTCAAGTTACCCAGTGGCCCAGATGTTCTAACTCCTGTACCCATACTCTCCGTAATGACCTAGCTGATTCGTGCTGAGGTTGCTCATTTCTGAAGAGTGTACTGTTGTTCTTTGTCAGCCTTGCAATCAAAGCAATTTCCGGCAAAGGTCAGCTGATCCCATCAGACAACCTGCTGATGAGGGAAGAGCCTGCCCCAATGCTATTGAGAAGGAACCCTGTAATCTGAACAAAAACTGCTACCACTATGATTATAATGTAACAGGTATGTGGACCATCCTCTTGTGCATTTAAAAGCCAATCTCACATATGTTAGCTTTGAAGCATTGCTAGAAGCTGGGCCACCTCCATCTGTATATCCTTTGGACATGCAGAAACAGTTATCAAGTTACAGAAATATGAACCTATATTTTGCTGAACATCAAGATATGAAAAATAAAAATATCATGCAGACACTGGCTCTTAAAACAGATGAGGGATATTCTAGCTGATTTTGTGTAAGGCAACTTTCCACTTGGGAAAGGTGCAATTGAAGGAAATATTTTTACCACAGATAAAAATGTACTGAGAGATTGTCTTTCTTTTTCAGAATATACTAGGACAACAATTCTTGGGGTGTGAAAACAGTTAATAACCATGGTTCATTTGATATAAAATTGTTGGCAGTCTAAAATGCATGAGTACTTTTAAAAAATACTCAATATAATTACCCTTATATCCTAAAATTGATTTGATAACTTCCAGACACACAGATGAAGAAAATGTTTCATTGGTTCATGTGATTGGGTAAAACATCAAAGCTGACTTTGGATTTTTTCCCCAGTAATTTCCACACTGAAACAAGCTTGAGAAATTGGTTGAGGACATATGACAGTCATATTGGATTTTTGTTTCTTTTGAGTTTTTCTCTTCAATTTGCTTTCACGACACAAAGGAAATCAAAGTGTTCTGGGACATGCTGTGTTATCTTGCAGAAAAAGATAAAAAGAATACTTTTGCAAAAGACCTAAACCAAGAGAACCAAAAACATACGTCCAAAGTTATTTCTGAAGTGAATAAGTTTGTATTTTAAATATGGACAGTTAATGAAGTGCATCGATTTTTATCTAACTATACACAAAGAACCATTTTCAAAATTATATCCATTTTGCTACGGAGAGAGAATGCTGAAATTTTAAATCCTATTCTTATTAGGGAAAAAATGTTTTTTAATGACATTGATCCACAGGCCCAAACCATTTTTACAATTATCACCCAAAGACCAGCTATCAAGATTGTCAAGCACACATCTGCCTCGAAGAATAAACCCTGCAGCTATGTGCAGCCCCAGCAACTCCATTTGACTCCTGATATGTTCAAAGCTGGGTCCCATATGCTCTGTATGTGGGATGATTGATTGTGAGCTTAGAAAGCAGTTGCGAATTAAGTATGGGATTCAGGTCATCAACGTTCCATTTGAAATCTGTTTCATGCATATCCTTCTGTTCTGATGGGCTCCCTTCCTTTCAGACTGGAGTACATGTCAGCTGAGTGAGAAGGCTGTGTGTGGAAACGGCATTAAAACAAGAATGTTGGATTGTGTTCGAAGTGATGGCAAGTCGGTTGACCTGAAATACTGTGAAGAGGTGGGTGGGCACTTGTTCTACCTTCCTGAGTTAATTTTTCCTTATTTCAATTCGCATCAAGCCAAGTGACCCCTGTGCTCTGGTCAGTTCTAGGCCAGCAGATGTTTGTTTTGTTGTTCAGGAGCTGTACAGTGCCCTCTTGAAAAAAGTATATCCAATGCTGCTGATTTCTACATGTAATGTCCTATATTTTCTACAGCTGAGAGCTCAGAGGTATGCTAATTAGCCTATTCTGAAAGAAATACTTGGGAAACAATAAGTAATCAAGGTGAATAAAGCAATAAATCTTAATCAAACTACTTATCATCTTTTGTAATTCAATGTGAATTTTGAGGCATTCCTGGGACACCTGCCAAAATCCATCCATTATTCCATCTGTTGATAAGCATCGATTGCATGTGGTTTGGTAGCAAATTTTGATATTAGGATGGAATACCCAGCTGTGAAATTCCCAGAATTCAGGTCTGGATAAGGGGAACTTGGAATTCAAACAAAGAAAACAAGTCTGTCATGATTATCATCTAGGTGCAGAGAATGATAACTTGTTAATCCAATTAAATAAGGTCCTTCTTAGATCTGACCTTCTGAAAAGGGAGGAAATGTAGTGGCTGACCTTTCTTGAACATGAAGCTGTACTTCATGTTGTCATCATTTTTGTCTGATTTCCACACCAAAGAGTGTCCTCGATTCCTGACGACTCTCACTCCCCTGTTGCTCAGGTGAACCTGCTTATTTAGTTTTGAATAAATCATGTTTGTTTGAATAAGCCAAAGTAAGAGAGACTCTTGACAAATCTGAAATAGATTGCAAGGAGTTTATATTATAACCTCATTAAGAGTTCCAGACATGCCAGCATGGATTTAGCCTCACATTCTGGGGGTTATATATGATGAGTCCACAGTAAATTGTATGAACTCACCATGGGGGGAAGTCTAGCTGAAAAGATGTTACTATGACATCTTTATCAAAGTGCTCCTAACTTAATTTCCTTACATCTCTATCCATTGGTGCAGAATTCTCAGATGTGCTGAAAACCCCAAGTTGTTCAGTTAGTAATGTCTCACGCTGCGACCTTACAACCTAGCTTAAATGTATTCAGACTTTAGATTTGAATCATTTGAATGCCAACCCTGAAATCATTTGGTTGCAAAAGTAATAACATTGAGGTAATGTAGCCATTATGAAAATAACATTATTATGAGAGAAGATTATTATAGTCATATATAGTCTGGAGAGCTTTCTGAGATCTACTTCCTGGTGATTAATATCATCTCTATTTTACAAATGTGCACATAACTGTCTTCATGGACCAGAATGAAACACAAAATGTGTACCTTTGAGAGCTTTCTGAGAACTGAACTCAAATCCCAAGCGACCAATTGTACACTGTTTTGTATGACTAAAGGACAAACATATGAATAGAACTGATTTTCTTAAATAGAATTGATTTTCTTAAATGAACAATAAACAAACACCTGAGAAATCACTAATTGCAATTACCTTAGAGCCCAGATAAATGTTCCCTGAAGTAGAAATATTCTAATATTTGAATACTGCAATGACAATTAAAGATATAAAATGATCATTAAAGATACATTGTGGATCCACTGTCTTTGGGGAAAGCAATGTTACAGTCTGTGGAGACTGAGGTAAACAGCTCAGGAGCTGTTTTCCCTCCCTGTGGATGTGCTATGTCTCCTAGAAGAATGGGCCTATCTTTGTGAGCAGTGCACGGATTGCCCTCCTGCTAGTGCATGGGCAAAACTGCATTTAGTCCACAGCAGTAGGTGACTCTCTCTGTTTCTCTAATAGCCACAATGAAAGAAGTCATTATTGCCCAACAAAGTGGAAAGTTTGGTTTAGATTCAACTAGCATTTATTGTGTAATTTTTCCTTTGTTATTTTGGAGATAGGTACTTACCTAATACCTCATCATCTGTTTCTCCGCTCTTCCTTAAACCCTCAATATACTGTGGTAGAGTGCTTGCCTTGCATGCATAAAGCCTTGGGTTCGATTCCTCAGGACAATATACGCAGAAAAAGCCGAAAGTGGAGCTGTGGCTCAAGTGTTAGATTACTAGCCTTGAGTCGAAGAAGCTCAGGGACACTGCTGAGTCCCTGTGTTCAAGCCCCAGGACTGGCACAAAAAAAAAAAGATCAGAGCCCACATGCCAAAGACGTGACACATTATTATCTGATGGCAAGCTTGACAGCTTTAGAAAAGAACATAATTATTTTAATGCCTACAAAACATTCATAATCAAAACATCCCGAGACCCCACACTTCCTTTTGAAAAGATAAATTACTTCAAAACAGACACTTCTTGTATCTTCTTTATCTGATGTTCATTCTGGGGATTGAGCTCGGAGTCTTGTGAATGCTTAGGCATGCACTATACCAATCTGCTACCCACCCATCTCCACCCCTGCCTTCCCTAAACTGATATATTTTTTACTATTTGGGTGTTTTATATGATTAGCTTTAAGTGACGATTTATCTTTAAAACCATCTCCTTTTGCTTTTCAGCTTAACATGTCCATTCAAAAATAAATAACACCCTGAAGATAAAAATCATAGACCTACAAATTTATGGTACCCTTTGTTTAAAGTAATAGGCAGTGGCTGTATTTAGTCCTTTAATTCCACATTGAGGGAAAAGCAACTAATTTAAATATTAGATCCTCTGTTTTAATTGCTAAATATAAATATTCACACAATGCATCAGTGTATAGAGTCGGTAGACCTCTCCGTTCTTTCTGTGCCCTTCACGACCAATCTGGTGGGTTGAATCATTTTATATTCTTAATAGATTGGATATTCATCTTCCAAGTACCTCTTCTATCAGGCAGACTACTTCATCTCCCTTGCTCTTCTCCCCTCCCTTCCTCTCCCTTCTCATTTTCTCTTCTCTTCTCTCCTTTCCTCGCCTTCCTGACTCCTTTCTCCACTGACAATACACAGTGGCCACAGCTCCATCCCTACTCAATCAGATCTCCTTCTGTTCTTTCAGCTTGGCCTGGAGAAGAACTGGCAGATGAACTCTTCCTGTGTTGTGGAATGTCCTGTGAACTGTCAGCTTTCTGATTGGTCTCCTTGGTCAGAATGCTCACAAACATGTGGTCTCACAGGTTGGTTTGTACTGCAATTCATTGAACAGGCTGGCTAGTGTTAAAGGCATTACAAAAAAAAATGTCCTTCCTGTTTTTAGTCCTATCAGATAATCTTTAGAAAGATTGGATTGGGTATCTTGCCTTCCAAACTGTGTAAGCCTTTCTAGTCCCTGGATCCCCTCAGGAGAGATCTCTATAAATGCTTTCTCCCAAGAAAAGACCTATTTGCAGAAATGTGACATCTTACTGATGTTGCGACACTTCACATCTCTTAAAGGGAAAATGGTCCGAAGACGAACGGTGACCCAGCCATTCCAAGGTGATGGGAGACCTTGCCCTTCCACGATGGAACAGACCAAGTCATGCCCAGTGAAGCCATGTTACCGTTGGCAATATGGCCAGTGGTCTCCATGTCAAGCGCAGGTATCAGTCTCAGGAAGTTCTGTACCTGGATGGATGTATTTGTCATCAACAGAGATTTGTTTTCAGAAATGTTTTACACATTACTGGTTTCCTCTTAAAAGATCGGAGCATTTTGCCATCTTATAAGCATTTAATTAGTTTTGATAACAAACACTCCCTGTCCTATTCCTTTAAAAATCATCTAGAGACTGGTTTATTTTAATGAAAATGTATTGCCTGTCTTTGGCTAGGAAACAAATAAATTGTTCAGGGTATATTTTATAGCTTGTGCCCCACCAGGCTTCTTCCCTAGGGTTTCAAATGGTTCTCTAACTGTTCATAAATCAAAATCAATGATGCAGAGATGACTGTAAGTGATGAGCTCTCTAATGAAATATTTTTTTTCTTTTTCGAATTAGTTATTTCTTCTTCCATTCCAGGAGGCCCAGTGTGGAGAAGGGACTAGAACAAGGAACATTTCTTGTGTAGTGAGTGATGGATCAGCTGAGGATTTCGGCAAGGTGGTGGATGAGGAATTCTGTGCTGACACTGAACTCATCGTAGATGGTAATAAGAACATAATTCTGGAGGAAACTTGCACCCAGCCTTGTCCAGGTAACATCCGAACAGTGTTATCACTACAGTGGTTTACATGCTTAAAACAAAACTACAGTCTTAGTTTTAGTACTTTGGTACTTTATTTGTAATAAACAAGTGCAAGGGGTGTGTCACCCTCATTTGATATTGCAAAATACTGGAAGCATGACATTGATTATTTAGGATTGATAATTATATAACTCACTCTCTAACGTTAAACAATTTATTGTGCCAGGTGCTAATCATTTGTGTCTATAATCCTAGCTACTCAGGAGGCTGAGATTTGAGGATCACAATTCAAATCTAGCCCTGACAGAAAAGTCCTTAAAAGTCTTATCTTCAGTTAACCATCAAAAAACTAGAAGTTGAGTTGTGACTAAAGTGGTAGACTCTAGCCTTAAGAGAAATCACTAAGAGACAGGGTTCAAGCCTTGAGTTCAAACCCCAGTACCAGCCTGCATACACAGTGCACTCACATGCATGCACACAGACACACACGGTGACATGATGTATTATATTTCACTGAAAGAATATGGATACTTATAGAGATAAAATCTAACCATAAAAAAGGACTATTTTATTTTCTTATAATTTGCAATCATGCAGGTGAAGTTATACTACATTCCTCTTGGCAGAATGTCTTTTTACCCTTAGCAATTTTTGTTCATAATTAAAAACTGAGTGTCCAAATAGCTTGTATTTCCGAGGAAATATAGCATATCCTACATGATATAAGAATTTCTACATCTATCTTAAACTACTTAAAAATTCTTTCTAGCTTGTATTTCTTTATCATTTATTGAAAACTTTTTGTATTTCTGGAGTATTGATGATGTTCTCTAATATAGATCTATGAAAATTATGACTATCATATACGTATATGTATGTTAGTCAATAGTTTACATATTGTCAGGATTTCTTTTTTCTTTCTCTGGTTCTATTTTATTATTCAAATTTTGAATGTTATTTTAAAGGTGATATACAAGGGGGTTACAGTTACATATGTCAGATAGAAGTGCATGTCTTTTTGAAGAATGTCCCTCCTTCCCTTGCTCTCTTCCAGTTTTTACCTCCCATCCCTACTCACAAGAGTATAGTTCATTTTCAACATAGTGTCTAGTGAGTACCACCACTGCATTTGTTCACCCTTTGTCTCTTCATTTCTGTGCTCTCTCTTACCCTCCCAAAGACAGGTAAATGAACAAACATGACAAAAAGAAAAGAAAACAAAAAACAGCAACAAAGAAAAAACTCTTGTTTTCATTTCCTGAAGTTCATTTTGATGAATATTATCTTTGGTTATATTTGATGAATATGTATGATTAGATGTGCATAAGTATTATGCCTTTGTGTTCCTCTCCTAAGAATATCCTCCTTTGGCCTCAATATGTGTGAATGCCTAAAGTCCTGTGTAATTTATCTTGTCACAGTGTATTTTTTTTTACCATGCAGTATGTTCACTTGTAGATTTATAGATACATTCTACTTACCACAAATGAGGGAAACCATGCACCCTATGTTTCTCTGGGTCTGACTTCCTTCACTTAATATTTTTTTTCAAGTCCCTCTATTTCCTTATGAGTGGTACAATATCATTCTTTCTGATGGAAGCATAGAATTCTATTGTGTATATATACCACATTTTCTTGATCCATTCATCCACTGAGACACATCTGTGCTGATTCCATATATTGGCTATGGTAAATAATGCTGGAATGAACATGGTTGTACTAGAGTTCTTAACCAAGACACAAAAATGTTTCCATTAATCAGAGTTCAAGATAACTTTGTAATTATATTACTCATATTTGGCATAATTTAAGGCAATGTGAATTATGGGTGTGATATGATTAGAGTAAAAATTATAAGACGTTCCCATAGTTTTATAATATAAAAATTCTAACATATTTTTGTATCTGTCACAATTGGCTGTACATTCTGAATAGTATCACCAACAGTCACACCCGAGAAATAGATGGGAATAAAGCTATATTTTCAAAATTGTTGAAAATGTTGAACACACAGACAGACTATGGCCCAGCAGTTCCTCATTCAGTAGAATGAATATAACAATTGGAATGAACACATTAGATAAATAGAGATAGAAGTGGGTGCTGGTGGCTCACACCTGTGCAGGAGGCTAATATCTGAAGATAGCGGTTCAAAGCCAGCCTGGTCAGGAAAGGCCATGAAACTCTTATCTCCAATAAACCACCAGAAAAACAGAAGTGGTACTATGGCTCAAATGGAAGAGCACTACCCTTGAGCTGAAGAACTGAGGGACAGTGCTCAGGCCCAGAGTTCAAGCTCCATGACCAACAAAAGAAGAAGAAAGAGGAGGAGGAAGAGGATGAGAAGAAGGAGGAGGAGGAGGAGGAGAAGGAGGAGGAGGAGGAGGAAAGAAAGAAGGAAAGAAAGAGAGAGAGAGAGAGAGAGAGAGAAAGGGGGCTGGTAAGGTATGGTGGCTCAGTGGTAGAGTGCTTGCCTTGCATGCCTGAGGCCCTGGGTTCGATTCCTCAGCACCACATAAGAAAAAAGCTGGGAGTGGCGCTTTGGCTCAAGTGGTAGAGTGCTAGCCTTGAGCTAAAGAGCTGAGGGACAGCTCCCAGGCCCAGAGTTCAGGCCCCACAACCAGACCCCCCCAAAAAAAGGAATAAAGAAAAATAGAAAGAAAGAAAGAGAAATGAAGAAAGAAAAGAAATATAGAGATAGGGGGTCAATTATGCAAATTTTTTTGGGGGGGGGTCCGGTCGTGGAGCCTGAACTCTGGGCCTGGGTGCTGTCCCTCAGCTCTTCAGCTCAAGACTAGTGCTCTACTACTTGAGCCACAGCACCACTTCCAGCTTTTTTTTCTGCTTATGTGGTGCTGAGGAATTGAACCCAGAGCCTCATGCATGCAAGGCAAGCGCTCTACCACTGAGCCACCTTCCCAGCCCTATGCAAATATTTATAAATGGAAAACTCCAGATACAAAAATGAGTAGCTAAGGTATCACTTCTTGTATCACATGAGGGGTGCTTCTGAGATACTGGGAATGTCCTGTTTCTTGATTGAATGGATGCTCAGGAAATAGCCATCTGATTATGGAAATTCAACTCCTGTGAATTTGTGATATGTGGTGATTTAGAGGAGAACTATGAAAAATAGATGAGAGAATAACTTTTTCTATAGCTGCTCCATTGCGTGCCTTGCCTCAACTTCGGTGGGCAGAAATAGAAGGAAAGCATTAATACCAGCCTTCTCAACTTTGACTTCAAGGCCATTTAAAATTAGGACTATCTAGAAGACAAATTCTATGTACAGTTAGATTTTAACAAATTGCTTTACAATCTGACAAGAAGGGTAGTAAGTTTTAAGCAAATACTTGTCATCTCTTAAGAAATGATCATAGTACACAGACTCCATTGAGCCATTGTTTATATTTTATAATATTAACATATAGCTACTCAGGAAATACCTATGCATATAAACATAAAACTCTATATAAACTTGCGATTACTAGAGGCCTGTCAAGTTTTATGAATATTATTAAGTTAATTATATATTACGTATAGTTAGCATAACTACAAACCTTTCCTAGTAACGCTACAGTTAAAATGAATATCTACCCCCCATAAATTGTCAACCTGTGGCCCACAGGTGATTGCTACTTGAAGGATTGGTCTTCCTGGAGCCTGTGTCAGCTGACCTGTGTGAATGGGGAGGATCTAGGCCTTGGTGGAATACAGGTTCGATCCAGAGCAGTTATTATACAAGAACTCGAGAATCAACATCTATGTCCTGAGCAGATGTTGGAAACAAAACCATGTGATGGTGAGTGCTACAATTCATGAAATCTCTTCACTTTCTTTGTTTAAGCGTTAGCTTAAGATAAAGAATTTTTTGTTAAATAAACAAATTTTCTAAGATCTCACTTAAGGATGAGAATTCTGAATTGTAAAGATTTGTTTTCATAAGTTAGATGTTAAATGTTAAAGCAGAAATACTTCCTAATTCTATGAGCTAAATAACAATTCTATTATTTATGCACTCAAAGCAATAATCATCATTCATGAATCTAATAATATTTTGTATTTAAATCTAATAATGGAACTGAAGAAAACTATGAGTCCACAGGAAAAATCATAGTTTTCTGTATTCTCAGAAACTGATACACTTAATGAATACATTTAACAAATTCTAGTGCAATTTTATGTAGAAAATTATGAAATATATAACATGCATGTGTCTGTATGTTTATATTAATATGTAATATGAATATTTATAATACACAAACATTCAGGAATCACAGAATACTAAAATAACAATGAAAGCAAAAGATTTATATCTGGTAGAGAATTTGGGACTCAAAACACTTTCATTCCTACTTCTGATCTGAACAATTAAAAAACATGACAAATAGTAGCAGTGGTATCCAAAATACTACCTTTACTCTGAAAATTGGGGGGGAAATGCTTAGAATGTTGGGGGGGAAATACTTGGAAGGAAAACTAGGAAAGCAGATGCTTCAACTCAAGAATTAGACAAAATTGTCCTGTCAGTTTTTAATCTTCCTAAATTTATTGACCACATATGTCTGGGACCATACAGGTAAAAGAGTACAGCAATCCATAGAGTTATGAGTTGAATAATTCCAAGAAAATTGTTTGTCCCACAGAACAGTGAAATAAACTTAGTTATAAATGACATAACAATTGCAAAAGAAATGCCTTCAACAACACGATATTCATAGATTATTACATGCTTAACACAATGTGGGATGTGACCAAAAAACAAAACAAAAAACAAAAAAAACAAAAACACTGGGGAGACTTTAAAGCCTCAAATAATTAAATTTATAATGAAGAGTGAGAAATGAATTGGCAGGACAGGAAGAGGGGTAGTATTGAAAAGAAATCTACTAATTGTACAAAAATTTAAATTTCATATTTTATTGATCAACAAGCACATGGAAACTAAGGTAAATGTTATATGTCATTTCATATATTTTAATTAATTTTGCATCCCTGTCTGTATGTTTCATATTCCATCATACTTTCAATACAAACCATTAAATTACATTACAAACCCAAGTAAGCCTCGGGTAGTGTTACAGAAAAACAAAAAATTTACTTGGGATTCAGGTATATAGCTGTAATTTTATAATATTGGCACAGCAACTTCTGTACAATAAATTAACATTGGAATCACCAGTGATGCCACTTCATATTTGAAAAATAGTTTATGAATCCCCTATTCCCAATGGTTGTCCTGACAACAGGATGTTTCTGTTCATCATTGTCCTGTCTCTGCAGATGGACATTGTTATGAATACAAATGGATGGCCAGTGCTTGGAAGGGCTCATCTCGAACTGTCTGGTGTCAGAGGTCAGATGGTGTAAATGTTACAGGTAAACTTACAATGTTGTGTTCTCCCATGTATTTCAATAATGCACAAGTAGTTACTAAGGAAAATAATGAAGTTAAAAAACTCATTTTCAACACATGGTTCAGACTATGAAAGCTAACATTTCCAGTGACCAATGACAAATTACAACGTTTCAAATTCTCCTCCACTTCAGCCCTTTTAGATAAGTGTTGCAACTTCATTAAATTACTAAGTCTAATAAATTATAATAAATAACTTCAAGATTAATTTTTTCTAGAGACTGTATATTTTAATAACTACTCAATGCTAAGGAAAAATACCAGTTTGTTCTTTTTACTGTTTCTGCTTGTGTACTTTGAAAGTAATATATATACATACACAGACTAATACAATTATAATTATATAAACCCAAATCAGTTGCTTGAATTAAAAATCTATAGCCAAGAACTTTTTAATTGATTAACAGAGAAATTTTATTGGTAATTCCCAAATCCTGAACATATAGGGAAGCTCATTTTTAATGCCTCCACCCCAAATTACCATACTTCCGAAGAAGAAATCTAGAAGTTTTTTAAATTGTATTTTGTACTAAAATACCTCTGAAGAAATATCTAATCTGCATGGTTCTTTATGTGAGCCCAATAAGTCTGAGGAATCTCAAGAACTCATTACAGGAGAAAGGAACTTAAATGACAGACAGGTAGCAAATCACATGCAAATTTCCTAGAAAGGAGAAACCAAAAGCCCAGCTTCCAACCCATGAACCCAAATTCTACTGCCTCTCCTTAGGCACTTGCTTTGTATAATCTAAGCTACAGGATGTCCATAGCACAGGGGCCATAGCAGAACTGACCATCCACCGCTCAGCATCTCCTGCTGTTGTTTCTACCCTCCTGAGTGCAGAAAATGTAATATGCATTTGAATTCCCTGAGTGATGGCCATTTTATACATTTAACTTTAATGTATTCAGTAAGATAATAGAAGCAGGATCAATGTGCTTTTGGAAAAACATCATTTTTTAATGTTGAATTTTAACTTACCTGAATTTGCTGAGACCTAATTACTTATTTCCTTTCTGTAAAAACAGGATGTCAAATTGTATTCTTGTGAAGATACAACTTCTCACATGAGAAAACTGTATCAACAAACTTGATTGTAGCATCTCCCAGTGTACATACATAGATCAAGAAAAGGCAACTACCAGAAAACGTTGTCAAATCTGTCCTAATCCCATTTTAAGATGTATGGGGTAAGGAGACCTCTAGACAGAGAAGACTAAACTTGCTGGGAGAGGTGCTGTGCAGATCACCCATTCTACTCATTCTACAAAAATGAGTGTGCCTTCTATTCCAAGAAACACAGCTTCCCCAGTGGACCTTAATAGTTTGCAATTTTTTTTCAGACATGCATGCAAATAATCTTTTTAACTTTTCTTCTGCATGTTAAAAGTTCTTTGCCACTGTAATGAGAGCTATTCTCAGTATAAATAACTGCAGAAACCACAACTCAACAGTAATTAAGTAAACTGTGGAAACCATATTTTAAAGTTTTTTTTTCCAAACAAAAAAGTATACAACGTATTTCTTTCTCATACCAAAAAGCCAATGTGTAAATAGCCTGTGAAAAATTCTAGGTGCATTCTTTTATCCATCTTTCTGATAAGGTTCTTCAGTAGAAACAGACAAGAGTGTAAAATATATTACCTATCTAGACTATTTCTGTTTACGAATTGTCCTTATAGAAGAAAACTAATGAAGCTGGGCGCTGAGGGCTCACACCTGTAATCCTAGCTACTCAGGAGGCTGAGATCTGAAGATCACAGTTCAGCCCAAGCAGGAAAGTCCCTGAGACTCTTACCTCCAATTAACCATCAGAAAACCGGAAGTGGTGCTGTGGCTCAAGTGGTAGAGCACTAGCTTTGAGCTGAAGAGCTGAAGGATAGCACTCAAGCCCAGAGTTCAAGCCCCACGACCAAAACAAACAAACAAACAAACAAAAAAACCCTCATGATACTCCTTATGTATTTAGTGATAACTGATATGGCTATTTAACTGAAATTGCCTTTCAACTTTGTATTTAAAATATTGAAAGAAACACAAAGGACTAAAAGCAATGCACTATGAACTAAAAAAATACAAAGGATCATCATTCCACAAATAAAGAAAAATTGCACGCCGAGTGCCCGTGGCTCACGCCTGTAATCCTAGCTACTCAGGAGGCTGAGATCTGAGGATCGTGGTTCAAAGCCAGCCCGGGCAGGAAAGTCTGTGAGACTCTTATCTCCAATAAACCACCAGAAAACCGGAAGTGGCGCTGTGGCTCAAGAGATAGAGCACTCTCGCCTTGAGCTGAAGAGCTGAGGGACAGCGTCCAGGTCCAGAGTTCAAGCACCATGACTGACAAAAAAAAAAAATTGTTTTACTAAAAGTCTGTTAAACTAACAAATATAGTTTAAAACAACAGTGAGTACCCCCCCAAAAAACCCAATGAGTCCCTTCCATGCAAGCATCATTGTTTCTTTAAGACTCCTAGCCCATCTACAAATGTCACTCATAGCAACTTAGAAACAGTTGTGCTGAACTTTAAAACAAAGAAAAAAGAAAAGATTTGGTAGCTACATTTCTTTACTTCCCTATAAACCCCAAATATTCAAATGTACAGAAATAACATTTGTTTCAAACAGAAATGCACATTGTAAAAATGCATTTATGTGTGGCCCTGTACAAAGTTATGGCAATGGTTTTGAAAATCATTGTTTAGAATTGCCAAGAATGGGGTTGAACTTTGACAGAAAATTAAACCTGCTTCTTTTCATTGGCTGAGCTTAGCTCTAAGAACTACTGATGGACTAGTATGTCTAAAATAGCAGCTATAAAATTATCTATTTCATCAACTAAGGGCCAGGTACTGTGCTGCCTCCTGCGTAAGAAAGACCTCAAGATGCTAAGGCAAAGGTTAACCAAGTATTTCACACACATTAAAGCTCTCCAGATGAGTGGATCCAGATTCAAAACCAAGTTTATAACAGAATATTTATCATAGCAAGATGTGAAGTGTGTCAAAATATGATTTTCTGTTCCACAGGGGGCTGCTTGGTGGTGAGCCAGCCTGATGCTGACAGATCTTGCAACCCACCCTGTAGTCAACCCCACTCATACTGCAGTGAGGTATGTGATGGGCCACCTTCGTATTTGTCACCCTCCTGTCTCCAAAAAAAGCATACCTCAAGAATACGTAGATGTCATATTTATGTCTCTCTTTTTCCCTCTTTCTCACTCTGTCCCTGTCTGTCTCTGTCTCTGTATCTCTGTGTCTCTGCCTCTGCCTCTGTCTCTCTGTGTGTCTCTGTCTCTGTCTGTCTCTGTCTGTCTCTGTCTCTGTCTCTCTGTCTCTGTCTCTCTCTCTGTCTCTCTGTCTCTGTCTCTGTCTCTGTCTCTGCCTCTGTCTCTCTCTCTCTCTCTCTCATCTTTCCTGGTACTGGAGCTTGAACCTAAGGCCAGGACGTGGTCCCTTAGCTTCTTTGGCACCATTTTGAGCTTTTCCTAAGTAGTAGTTGGAGGTAAGAGTCTGCCTGGGTATGGCTTCAAGCTGCTGTCCTCGGAGCTCAGCCTCCTGAGTAGCTAGGATGACAGGTGTGAGCCACCAGCGCCCAGTTTATGCCTCTCATTTAAGCAACACAAACAGTTCTGAGCACACTTAACCTTTAGAACAGGATTTTTAATGTAGTTAAGACAGGCATTGCAGGTAATGTATTCTGCCAATAAAAAACAAAATGCCAGCTTTCTGTCTCTACTTTCCTTCTTGCATGCCACGTGTAAATCTTGTTGTTCTCCTGCAGACAAGGACATGCCGCTGTGAAGAAGGGTACACTGAGGTCATGTCTTCCAATAGCACCCTGGAGCAATGCACACTTATCCCAGTGGTAGCCATACCCACCGTGGAGGAGAAACGAGGAGATGTGAAAACCAGCCGCGCAGTGCATCCCACCCAGCCTACCAGCAACGCAGCTGGCCGGGGAAGGACCTGGTTTCTACAGCCATTTGGGCCAGGTGAAATGACCAGAGAGGGTTGACACAGAATTCGTAGCTTGGGGCCATTACCAAAGGATTATTTTAAATAAACAATCATGTTCACGGGAGCTATTATTTATCATTTTGTTTATATTTACTTATTCTATTATGGCCATCTATTCTTTTTTGTTGTTTTTGGTACTGCTACATTTAAAAGCACCAATGTCCAAGTTATTTCAAGCTTTAACTGCACATTGAATTTTTAAAATGAAACAATGAAAACATGTTTGTGTTTATTCACAACTGGAAAAGAATACCAGACTACACAGATATTTGAAAGGAATAATTTGAACCTTAACTGAAAGCATCAGAGATGTAATCCTGTGACAATCCTGCAGGCAATATTTGGTAAATAGACTGATTTACATTAGTCTTAAATGTTGTTATGCTCAGCTAGGGACTGGTGGCACATGCCTTTAATCCTAGCTACTCAAATGGCTGAGATCTCAGGATTACAGTTTGAAGCTAGCCTGTGCAGGAAAGTCTACAAGACCCTTATCTCTAATTAATAACCAAAAGGCTATAAATAGAGCTGTGGTTCAACTGATAGAATACCAAGCTTGAGCAAAAAAAGCTAAGGGATTGTGCCCAGGACTTGAGTTCAAAACCCAGTACTGGCACAAAAATAAATAATTAATAAGTTGTCATGCTCAGCTAGGGACTAGTCGCTTATGTCTCTTATCCTAACTACTCATTAGCCTGAAACCTGAAAGTTTGAAGTTCAAAACCAGCCTGCACAAAAAGTCCTCAAGACTCCATCTTCAGACACCAGCAAAATGCCAGACTGGATGCATGACACAAGTGCTACAGCATTCATGAGCAAGCAAGCTAGGCACATTGGCACATGCCTGGTATGCAGTCCACACAGGAAGAATAAATAAGAGGATTGTGGTGTAGGGCAGCTGGGGCCTACACCACAAAAGAAACAATACTCTATTTAAAGAATAATGAAAGAAAAAGGGACTAAGAGGCATGGTTTAGAGGGCAGAGCACCTGTCTAGCAAACTCAAGACCCTGAGTTCAAACTCCAGTACTGCAGAGACAGAAAATAAGAGTAAAAAAATTAATTACAAAAGTGCCTGTCACTTATGATCCATAAAATAGGAAAGTTAGAAAAAATATTTGTTTCTTTATAGTACTGGTGTTGGAAGTCAGAACTCATACTTGTTCTGATGCTACTCTACCCACTGAGTTGTGCTCCTACCAAAAAAAAAAGTTACTTAGCCTTTGATAAGATTTGATAAAATTGTTTTCCAAATATTATACCAGATCAATCATTAAGCATCCTGTAAGTATAAAATTAAAAAAGATTCTTGATTTCAAAATAAACTAGTACACTCACTTTCTTTTCATCCGTAATAAGAAATGTTCAAATACCTGTCTGCCTCAACTCTAGGTTATAAGACTTTCTTTAAATCACATTAATTTTATCTTTTCATATTAAATGACCTTCTCAAAATAGATAGGAAATCCTAAGAAATATTTCTCTTTCATTAAAACTTTTATTGTGAAGGTGATATACAGAGGCGTTCCACTTACATAAGTCAGGTATTGAGTACATATCCTTTTGAACAATGTCATCTAATAATATTTCTATATAGCATTATATATATGTTAAATTTGGAGTGAAACGCAGACAAGCAGAAGTTTAGACATACGAGTTCAGCATCCATACAGAAACATTATTTTAGCTTTTCAATTTAATGTTCGTTATCAATTGACCTTAATGAAGCAGCATCTAGTTCATAATAACATCTTTACATGCATTATTCACTGTCTGCAAATTAATCCAGTTTTGCAAATAATTGGTGATCTGTGAATGGTCAATGGTCATAATTGAATACTGTTCTATATACTACAGACTAACATAAATATCTATTCTCTTAGATGGAAGACTAAAGACCTGGGTTTATGGTGTAGCCGCTGGGGCATTTGTGTTGCTCATCTTTGTTGTCTCCATGATTTATCTAGCTTGGTGAGTGCTTAAATATTTCCAAGTCTAAGAGGATACAAGATGTCTTTATTTCAAAGAAAATACTTTTGGTAGCCTGTAACACAGGAATAATAAATTAATGTATCAAATAAGTACACTATATGATTTAGTGTCTACATGCAGTTCTAAATACAAAAAGAACTCCTATAGCCTAAAACCCACTATTTCTGAGCCATTTCACTTCTGGTCATGAAAGAGCCAGAATTCATCCAGGTCACATTTTCAAGTTTGCTTGCAAGAATCACAGAAAACATTGCTTTGCGTGTATTGTGGTGAACTATACATTTTATACCAGATTTCTACTGGAGGAAGATATCATGGTAATATCTAATCTTATTCGACTATATTTGTAAATATGTATTCTTTTTTTGTAAATCTTATAAAGGTTTCTGGACAAATGCAATACAGTAATATCAATTTCATTGTTAGCACTAAAGGATTTCCACCTGGATAATTTTTCTTAGAAAATACTGAACTACTTGAGGATCATTTAATTTTTTTCAGAAGATAAATCTCTGAAATTTAACCAGAAAAATTAAGATCTGAGGTTGAACTCAGGCAAACAGACAAATAAGAAATTTAGGTCCATCAATTTGTTTTGCTTCGCAAATATTTTTAAGCAATCAATTAAAGGTTGATTTTTTTCTCCCAATCTCATGAATTTCTTACAGCAAAAAGCCAAAGAAACCCCAAAGACGACAAAACAACCGACTGAAACCACTAACCTTAGCTTACGACGGAGACGCAGACATGTAACATGTAACTCTTCCTGGCAACAACCAGTTTTGGCTTTCTGACTTTGTAGTACCTATTGAGAGGTCACCTTGGCACTATCTGACTGTGCAGATTATATTTCATTTAAACTTTGATCAAAGAGTATCCTAAAGAATGAAAACCATACTGCCAATGGGAATAGTCAAGCCTGTACCACTTGCATACAGATCATCATCCTGGCATTTCTAGGATCCTTAGTTCAATACATGTTGAATCTTGAAAGTTTTGTGTCACTTTTTCTGCAATCCACCAACTGAAGAGTTACTTTCATCTCTGAAAAGATACTGGTGAAACTGGTCAGCAAGACTGCAGTACTAAACTAACGCACAGAACTTTCTAGCATGGAGCGTCTATAGTGAGAGTTCTAAAGTACTATAGTCAAGCATAACAACATGTATATTCAATTGAATGCTACACATAATAATATCATATTATGTATTATCATAAGCAATCTTCACAGTAAAGATGGATAACCTCCAAGCTGAGCAGAAAAACCACCAAACAAATTCCGCATCTTTCTGCTTGATGATAGCTGCTATTGAACTGTATTTCAGAGACAAAGACTCTTTTATGAGACTTCACTCTTGTCTCGGTTCAATGTACAAAGCTGGATATGGTACTAGTACTTGAAAAGCAGAAGAGTCCTCAAGTTCAGTATTTTATAGTGGTTTATTGTCTGGAAAGCTAATTGTGTTGCTACATTCCTACTTCCCCTAATTTTCAAACTGGTTGCCTGCAGTCTTTTTTGCTGTATAAAAGGCACATTTTTTTGCACTATATTAGTGCAATACGATAGGCACCTAATCAGTGTTGATCATAGAAACTGCCTCTTTCCATAAGGGATGAACAGCTGTGCCAGTACCAGGGAGACATTTGTTCAGTTCCTGCATCCTGTAGAGAGTGAAGTTTCCTTTGAAGGGCAACAGGATGGAGTCTGCCATGACACTGCTGTATACGCAGTTCTTCATTGCTGCAGCCATTGACAAATCCACACCTGCGGTAATTTATGTATTGAAGTCCCCAACCCACAGACTCTCCAAAAGATGGATCCCAATAGTTGCTTTGTAATTGTTGCTGGAAGCTTGTTTATGACTAGATTTTATATTTGTTATCTTTGCTTAAAAAAAAGAAAGAAAAGAAAAGAAAAAAGGAACTGGCTTTCTTTTTAATTTCAAACAGATGGAGAGAATAAGGCATCGCTGATTTTTGTAACTGAAAGAAATCAAAATTATGTGTTGACTTTTCTTCCTCCCTGATTTGTAGATTGAAAGTCTGTCTTGCAGGCAGTATTTCAAAATCTGTAGTCTTTTGCCTTTCTCAATAGGAAACTTTGAAACAGTCTTTTTGATGTACGATTTCAAAATCCAAAATTTTATAAAAGGAAAAGAATGAATGTCTGGTGCAGATCTTCAGTAAATATCTAGACCAAGGGCAGTAAACTTTCTCTGTGAAAGGTCAGGTAGTAAATATTTTCAGTCAGGTCTGTGTTGTCATTTCTCAGCTTAGCTATAGATGAGCAATGCTTCATGTGTAATGCTACAAGAGATGACTCACAGTAAGAAACGAATGAACATGCCTGTATGTCAATAACACACTAACGATCTGCATTTACACATCCAAATCACTGACCTCCACCCTACATGGTTTACAGTGTTAACCCTCTATTGTATGAGGTCTAGTTTTCCTTCATTTGCCCTGTATCTATCACCAAGGCTCAATTTCAAAAGTGAAAATTCATAGTCATTAGATTTATCGAAAGTAGTTCTATTTTCATAGATGTAGCCCTGTCACAGTGGAATAATATCTAATTTAACAGACTTCTTTCTACAAAAAAGAAAATTCAAAAGATACCATTAAAAAGCAATAGCATTTTTCAGGCGACATTTACTGCAACAACCTTTGGAAGAAGAAAAAAACATTAGGTTTTAGGTCTTTAAGAAAGAATAGGAGAGCTATTTTTCTCTTGAACATAGATAGTTACATTGCTGTAAAAGCAATTTGGAAGAGCAGGTATTTTTGCCTTCATGGAGTATATGGTGGATTTTGAATGCCCCCTACTGTCCATTATAATAATTGGAAAATTATAACAAGAAATCAGGCCATGGGCTCACAAAGGCAAATATTTCTACTTGTTTCCATAAGAACTAAATGTGGTAAGCAATTATTCCTTTTCCAATATTGAATACAATAGACAACATAAGTAAAGAGAACCTGTAGCCAACTGGATGCACGTTTACTTTAAGCCAAGAATTTATTCAAGAAAAAGTACAAAAATAAAATCCATTCAATATATTTTACTAAAGTGGAAGAAAAAAAAAGTATTGTTACTTTGAAACTATAATTTTCAACATACATACCAAGGGGTCTTCCAGATAATTCTCAAGTTGATCTCTTTGAATGAACTCTTTTTGTGTGAAATGGATAAGAAAGGAAGTTACTTGTAACAGTCTGATGGAGCATATTTAATATCTAATTTTGAAAAGTGGAATAGAATAAAATAGTCTTTTGACTATTGCTAAAATTAAAAATCCAGATGTCAGTGACTCATGCCTGTAACCCTACCCATTCAGGTGGCTAAGATTTGAGGTCATGATTCAAAGCTAGCCCTGACAGGAAAGACCATGAGACTATATCCAATTAAACACCAGAAAACAAAAAAGCAAAAACAAAAAAAACACTAGAAGTGGTACTGTGGCTCAAGTGGTAGAGGGCTTTCCTTGAGCACAAAAGCTCAGGGACACCTTCCAGGCCCTGAGTTCAAGCCCCAGGACCAGCACACACAAAAAATAATAATAATTACCATGAAATGTAATTCATTCAGAAGACAAATCAGTATTATCTGACCTGTGTTAAAAGCATTAAGTGAAATAAGAGGTCAAGCAAAATTATAAAAAGGTTATGAAAATATAAGATATTTTATTCATAAAACAAATTTATAAATTAATTAACATATCAATGTGGATAACATTCAATACTGGGGAGCATATTGGGTGTTCACAGTTATGATCAATTAATACTTGATACCCCATTATTAGAAACAGGGAAAGAATGCAATGTGGCTATTTGCCTCCTTTGAACAAATGCCAGGTTATTTACTCACGTTCATAACAGGAAAATGGGTGTGGGCTTTTTTTTCCCTAGCATGAGTTCATAATGAGTTCAATGCTAAAATTCCACCAAAAACTTATTTTTTCCTGATAATGTGAAGAAGTCAGGATGAAAATATTGTAGCTACACATCTGACATGTTTTCCTTATCAAAATGTGAGTCCAAAATTTCAAAATGCTATTCAATGAGTACAAAGAAAAAAAAAGCAAAAGAAAAGTCTTGATAGGGTGCTATGTGCTTGTGTTGGACTGTTTCAGCAGAAACTCTAGAGAGGCACCATAATGAATGGGGCTAGTTTGTTTATACATCAACCTAATCCAAACCATGGACACTACCATGTACTTAAGCTAATTGAAAAGGAGTTCATAAAAGCATGCCTCAACATATAGTAAAGCACAAACTACTCATTGCAAGTAAGACAGATATTTATTGATTTATCATTTGTGACAGTCTGCTAGGCAGCATACAATTTAGAAATGACTTTAATACACATAGGAAACTATGACATTCAAATGAAGAGAAATAATGACAATAGCACTTGAATGCCTCTCTCTGGATTTGTTTACTCATATGGTCAATACTTTTCTATAGTATGTTGTAGGATGCACTCTGAGGAATCTCCCCCACCATTTCACTCTCAGATGGGCAGCAATGGCCGCTATGGGTGACATAGAACTCTCTTAAATTCCTGGATCTTTCCAGGTGAAGCAAGTAGCACAGCTCACACATTCATTTACCTCCAGCTACATTGTATCTCTTTGTACTTTATGATAATTTTCTCTGCCTGACCAAGCAAGAAGGCCCTCACTACATTTCTTATCAATAGCTAATCTCCACTTCCTTCTGAGCCATTTATAGTCAACATTCCCTAGTTTTTAATTTTAAAAAATGGAGAATGCCCATATTCCTTTCCTATTGAAATCAGTGTCTCTTAGAATGTGAACATTATTTAAATAGACTACACTTGTCAAAGCAATGAATAGATGGATAGAAACAATGTACAGTTCATGCCAAACAAACCAGAGCAAAGCAGGCTTTTCTGTAAAGGTGTAAATTTCAACACCTGTTTCAATATTGTCAGTTTCCGTTTATGCCTTCTACTTTCTTCCTGCCATTATTCATTTTCCATATTAGACAGTGGGGAGAATGCTTTCAGTTTTCAATACTGTATGAAAGGAAGAGCCTGTTTCTAAGGGGTTTGGTGGGGGTGGCTAAGTTTTGCAATTATCATACTTTCCAAATGACCTTGGATTTCTCTGTCTGTAAAAATGTTATCAAGTTCAAGTGCATTTCAAGTTCTATTTCCTCTCTGAGACTGAGGATGCTGGAAGGCCAGCAGCCTACAAACAAATTCCCAAGGAATCTTGCAGAGGGCAATCTTACTGAGTCTAGCTTCGTTGTGAGCATTACAACCGCCTGTCCTGGTGATGATGGTCTCTTGTGTCTTATCCTGAGTTAGTTCTGGCTGCACATCAAGATGTCAGGCATCTGAAACTGAAATGTGGGTCTAGAAAAGAATGGAAATTCTATCATCTAAAAACAAAAAACAAAAAGAGAGATGATGTGTAGTGTGATACAATCATTCTGTTCCTAGCAGGGATCCTGAAATATGGTTATGTCTGTAATCATAAATGGATAAAACCAATATTAAGTGAAAAGAAAGGTGATTTTGCAGGAGTTTTTGCTTTGTTTCGATTTGTTTTGTGCTTCTTACCATGCCAGACCATTAAACAGGCAATACATTAAGAATTTTAGTTCATAGGATCAAAATTCTCTATTCTATTTAGAATGCAATTGGGCGTCATCTTTATTATTGTATCTGTAGCTTTTTTAAATTAACAATTTTTAGATTATTTACTGTCAAGCCACAATAAACTTTTCCCAGCTCTTTTTCTGGAATCTTATGTTTATTTTTAGAAAGTAAATATTTAAATTGCACTTGTGGTACTTTTTCCTTTCTGCCCATTTCTATCACAGAGATTTGATGACATCATTGTGTATCGTAAAATATAATTTTATTAAAGCTCACATTTGTCTTTCTATAAATTATAATCTAATTTTTATTTAATTGTGTATTTATTTTGTTTAAACAAGGAGGCAGCTGTCTACAAATTTCTGTTAATATTACTTTGCACATTGTATAATGTAATTTATTTTAAATTATGTACATTTCTTTTTTAATGCACAAACTGTCTGTATACAGTTAAGTACAGATTTGCAAATGATGTCACTAAGCTTTATTCAGTTAATACAGATGGCATGTGAAGATGTAATGTGCTTTTTTTTACATTTTCATATGGGTAATTTGTAAATAACTATATTGCTAACCCACATAAACTTGAAAGTCATTTTCATTCTAATTACCTGTGCCTGTGTTTTAATGTGCATCATTTACTTCTTAAATGTGTTTAAAGGTCGTTGTTTTTAATAACTCCACTTTAGAACATTTGAGAAACGGAAGTTTTACTTGTAAAGTCAACTGGGACCACAAGATTAATTCTCATTGTCAAAGGCACTCGGTTTCTTGTATGTGGAGAGCGGGAACCCGGCAGGAGATGGAGACATCTCTCCAATGTAGCTCAACACTTCCTACTTGGTCACTCGTGTCTATCCACAGAAATCCAGATCGAAACGTCAAGATTTCGATTGACAAAATCAGGAACGAATGAAACAGATTAGACAAATTGCTGCTAGGGAAATTTTATAATTAAAATATTGTCCAAAAGAGTGCTTTCCTAGAGCAGAGAACTCTAGAAACTTAATAAAGAGCCAATTAAA